AAATGTAGTATTCTAAGAAAATATTTCTACTTTTACAAACATCTTGTGCGCATTCTTATTAATATTAAATCATATTTTTTTTGTAAATAAATAATTGATCAATTTATATTTATTCATAAAATTGATTAATGGAATATTATGCAAATAAAAATTGATTTCTGGCAATTTTTTAAATAAAATATTATAAATTTAAGAATTGTTTAAGTTTACTTAATGCATAACACGTTAAAAGTGATACATTTACTAAGTTGTGCTATTTAAAATATGTCAATTGAAATTATTAAAAATGTGAGTGATTTTGTTTCCATTATTCGTTCGAAATGAATATTCTGCGTTGAGCAGTATAGGTTAAATACCAAATACTTGTATGTTGCATCTCTAATTTAGTAGCAGCAATTGTTCAGCAGAATCTTGTATCTATTTACAATTTAAAAACTTCTTGAAAAGGTTTTTAGTAATTTTTGCTATAACAGGACCCTATTTGCACAAATTCACAAAAGCAGGACCCTGGTTGAAAGAATGTTACTTGACGCTTATTTTGTATTAGCAAATTACGAGTAGTTTTTTCACACTTTTACGAAAACAGTACCTTTCACAAAATGTCTGGACAGACCTTATAAATAATTAGACCAAAGTATTAGACGCACTGCAGTGTTTTAATAATGACATATTTTGCACGTGTTTACATGCAATACTTTAATATTTAAACATACATGTAATGGGTTCTTATTCAGGAGATGTTTTATATATACTTCCTATTTGTATTTATTTTTAACGTATTGCATTGCAATGTTAACCCATTGATACACGAGCGTAAACAAGTGCAAACCGGTTTCAGCTGCGTAAAAACAATAAAACTGTATAGTATCACTTGATAATAAAGATTTTACACAGAATATTACAATGAGTCTAATACTATATACTTCAGTCGAACTCTGTTATTGTGAATTCTTTGCGGAATCAGAAATAAGTTCACTATAAACGATGATTCACTATATCCTAAATATAAAAAAAAAAATGAATTTTTTTTTTTTTTTTTTGCTTTAAAAGATCCAAAAAAAAATCGAGTTAAAGGGAGTAAAGTTCGAGTAATCGAGAATAATTAACATGAAATTGAAGATAAAAGGGTCGGGACCTCATAAAAAAATCGAGTTATAGTAATATTCGAGTTATCGTACTTCGAGTTAAAGCGAATTGACTATATAGTTCAGTCGAACTCTGTTATTATGAATTCTCTGCGGAATCAGCAATAAGTTCACTATAAACGATGATTCACTATATCCTAATTATCAAAAAAATAATTTTTTTTTTTTTTTGCTTTAAAAGATCCAAACAAAATCGAGTTAAAGGGAGTAAAGTTCGAGTAATCGAGAATAATTAACATGAAATTGAAGATAAAAGGGTCGGGACCTCATAAAAAAATCGAGTTATAGTAATATTCGAGTTATCGTACTTCGAGTAAAAGCGAATTGACTGTAGTTTGGCCAGGGACTGTATACCGTACTCGTTCCATGGAGTTTTAAATATAGATTCTTTCTTACCTTTTTTATTTTTTATTCTGAATTATTAACGGAGTACATGTTCCGAAATAGTTTCATTTCTGCTGGTGGTTGTGAAGGTCAAATAAGTGGGGAGTTCTCAGTTAAGTGTTTCATGCATACATAATGAAAACGCTAAACGAGAGTTGGTTATAATGTTTTATCTCGAAAAAAAGAATATTACTTAACAAAGGATTCCACAAATAGCCAGTTTATGGAATTTTTATGGTCAGGTCAGCTGTTATTTCGGTCGAGTTAAGAAATACGATAATTTATTCGTTTACAGTTTATGGTAATGGTGCAAAAAGAAAAGGAGTTTTTTTTAGGTTTAAAAAAATATTTTTCAAACCATTTTTTTAGAAATAAATATTAGTTATTTTGATTGTAAATATGTATTTCTCAAGGGCAATGACCCCCTAAAACTCAACTTTTCTTCATTTTGCAATTATTAAAACTAAACAGTAAGTAAAGTAAACTCAGTGTGCGTAGAGTTTTTAAAAAATGCTTAAAGGGGTTTATTTTTGATTTACGTTTTTTAAAAACCCTTAAAAGTGCATTTTTTTTATTCGGGGTTTGTAAAAAGTGCTTAATTTTCTATGTTTTGAAAAGAGATTTTTTCTTTGCAGTGTCGATTGTCCTTCTAAATTACAAGAAATGCATTATTTTTCACAATTTTCTCTGCAATATTTATCAGAAACTAATTATTTTATAATGAGTATGTAAAGGTTTTGTGGAATATTTTTGAATTTTATTGATTTCATGTTTTTAAATTAAGAACTTTAAACGATAGAAAACAAATTATTTTTATTACTGCATGCACAGATCCTAATTATGATTTTTTGGATAGTGATTAAAAATATTTTTTGAGTGCTTGAAAAATACTTAAAAGATGCTTATTTTTTGTTGAAAAATCTGACTACTCACCCTGATAACTGAATTTTTTTACCTTGGATTCAAAGTCTTGATGGCATAATAATAACCAATACAGAGGTGTGTAATTAGTATCACACAAACCTTTAAATTTGAATTGCATATTGTATAAAAACATTATCTTCAAACATGCTCCATCGATATTTTAAGATCTATTAATCGCATTTCCATCTTGTTTTTTTAAATTTTTTTTAAAGAAAGTTGTAAAAGAATAAATTTTCCAAATTTTTTCTTTAAACTTGAAAAAAAAGAGGCATAAAAGTAATATATATTATATTGTGTTTAATTTAAAGAGTTTTTTTTTCTCCCAATTTTGCATAAAAAGTGGACTTTGAAGATTATATGAATCTCAATTATACATACAATAAATAAAAGATATTACATTGAACTCAATTGTCTAAAAACATAATGAAAATCGGATAAATATTGAAAGGAAGAGGTAGCAAAATATTTTATCCAATTGAACACAATCGAAGTATGTCGATTCATACCTGGTATCCTAAAAATGGCTGACGAATTTTGATAAAAATGAAAAAAATGGAACTTGATTAAAATATACAATTTCAGACATTTATGAGTGCGAAACTAGTTATTTCATTCCACAGAATTGCAAATTTGATAGATTTTTCATCAATAGATGGCGTTTCAAGCGCTCAAGAGATGCGACAGGGAAATTGAATCCGTATCATCCTCAGTCGGTATTACGCAACAAAATCACTTAATCACCACTCGTGAAGGCTTTTGATGATAATTCTCACGTTAGAACAGTGTATATTCATCTGTTCTGAATACCAATTTTATATACTGATTGAAGATATTATTCTGCAGCGCCATCTATTGGCAGGAATTTTAACTAAATTTAACTAAATAAATATGAAATCTTCGACATTGAAAAATTTTTCGATCTTCCCCTTTCCTTAAATTTAAGAACATGAGTTATAATAACCGCGATTTTTTCTTAATATTTACAGATTAACAAAAGCAGGCTGTTCAGTAATGACCGAAATTATTTTTTATTTTTAAATAAATAACAATAAATCATAATAAAGTAAAATCGTAAGTTATCATTGGAGGTCACAATGTAATATTTTTGCACGAAATAACAGTAAGACTACAGAAACCTAACGAATCACAACAGAAGAAAGTGGGACTGAAAATGTCATAACCTGTGTAAAAAAAAGAGAGGGTAAATTAACCAGGTAATTAAATTGGTTATGTTTTTCATCCCGTCTTCGTCACTATTGATATTTTTGCTTTTTTCCCTCACTAAAATATAAATTTACAACCCTTACTGAGTATCCTTTTGAACTTCATTTTTGACAAATGTTTTAAAAATGTGCATTAAGATTTAAGCGTGGTCATTACGGTAACACCATATATAACGTTGCTGACACTACCTTTATAATTTGTTTCCAAAAATCACTGACACATATTAATCACAACAGCTATTTTTGGTGTCTATTTGTGCTCTAACAATTTGCATTTATCCGAATTCAGAAATCGTTGAAACTAATGAATTCTGCAAGCATTCCGGAACAAAACTATGTATCATTTTGAGGGGGGGGGGATGAACGGAGACGGAGTTACGGGTCATCATCATGCATATAAATAGTCAATTAACGAACGATAACCGCATGTTCTGCCTTAATTCTAATTATGGACCGGGGTATTCTTGAAGTTCATCCGCAAAAGTGTTGCCATCGAGTAATCTGCATATCTGGAATGTCATTAAAAATCATGGAAACTCATGAATTTCGACCTCGATCGAAACTTGTCATGGAAAGTCATGATTTTAAGTGATAAATACTAAGAATTCATAGAAACTCTCAGTTCATTATGGATTTTTGACTACTGTAGCCCTTAATAATGACGCACGATTTAAATATCCTGCAATTTGTATTAACATGCAGGGCCCTAGGTCAGGCAGGGGCCCCTTGGTTTTATATGTAGTTATTAAACTTATATTTGTAGAAAATTTAATAAATGTTTTGAGCCTGATAAATATTAAAAATTTTAGTAAAATTTAATTTTAAAAACGATTTCATTTTGAAAAAATTTAAAGTTAACACTTTTGTTTATTCTGTGAAATATTTTTTTAATTTTTATTTCGGCTTAAAAGACATTAAATATTTTTAATTCCATTTTTCTAATTTGTATGTTTGTTACGGCTAATTGCTGAGTTTTTTTTCAGTTTGTTTAATAGTTTAGTCCTTTTTTATTGCATTTGTTTAAATGATCTGATTAAAAATTGTGCAAAGCACACACACATCAAAGCATTGCCTCACATCATGTAAAACAATACTGTTTGTAAGAAAGAGCGTTATAGTCAGTTTGGTCTCCCTTCGACTTTATTGAGTAATAATGTATTTGCCCATGTAAGCCATGGCAAGTGTTTGGTAGAAGTCATAAAAAATCAAAGAATGTCATGGATTAAAAAACTCTAGATTTAGTAGGTATAGGTTATTCTTCTCTAATTTTACGACAAAGCATTGTTTTATTTTCAACATCGTTTCTTTTTTTTGCTCTTTTCAGGTTTACAAACACCATGGAGATACTACTTAGCAACTGCACCCTTTCAACTGCATCTTACGAAGGCGACAAGGCTTACGTCTTCCTCGCCTCCACGACAGCCGTCCTCTCTTTCTTCCTCAATCTAAGTCAGTTCATCATCATCATCCATCAGCGATTACTCAAAGAAAACAAAAACATCATCATCATCAACCTCTGCATTTGCGGTCAGCTCTCATCCGCTTCGGTGATCTGGTACATCTACAAGGTCGTCTCCTTCTGGCAAGAGGAACGCCTGGTGGACGATTACTTGCTGTGCTTCTTGCTGCCATCCGGTCTGCATCTTCTGACCATTTTCATCTTCACGCCTTTAATCACCTTATTAGTCCTGCAGCACAATCTGGTGATTCGACCCAAGACTGGAAAGCGATTCCAAAGCACTCATTTGGTGATTGGATTGCTGATCGTTCTCTCCTGGTGCCAAGCCATCATCATATCCATCATACCATTAACCGGTTGGAACAACTGGAACGGTGTTTGTTCTCTTCCACTAGCATGGTCTCCGTCCTTCACTATATTAATTTGTATTATATACTTCTTACACTATCCAATAGTGCTGATATTACTGGCAGATTTGTGCCTGTGGTCTTCAAAGCGGAGAAATTCCATCAGTCCAGAACCGCTTTGTTGCCAATCGAAACTCGAGCTTTGTCACGCCGTCCGAATAGCAGAAAAGCCTTTGAGCAACAGGAATGCTATTTTTCTATTTCTATTGTACATGGCAGGAACGATGCCTTTCATGTGTTACGCTGCTAGCGTTGTCATGGATCAAGACATGGACTTCTGCAGCTCGTTGGTTGCTAATGAAAAAGCTGCGATGTGGACTTCTTGGGTGACAGTTGTTTTTGCTGCAATCCGTCCGTTGTTTCACATATTTATGGAAGACGATTTGGGCGACGCTACTGCAGTTTTCATCACAACAGTGTCCAGGAGAAAAAACTGCAATACGTGATATTTACAGAACTATGAAATTGTATTTATTTTTTAAAGTGTCAAAAATACGATTTTTTTTCGCTTCATTTTGTGGAATGTATTGTGTTTTTAGCTGTTTCTTTCCTGTATAAAAAGTCAGTATGCAAACAAGTATGAAGAAAGGTTACTTCATTAGACCACTTCAAAAAAAATGATCGTCTAATTCGTCAATTTTATTGTGTTCGTGTTAATGCAATTATTACTTTACATACTACACATATCTATTTGGCAATTATTTTTCTTTTATTTTATAGCCGTCGTTGAACAGCCGACTCAATCTTTGAGTTTACAAGTACTAATATTTAACTCTGTTGCCTTGTAATTTTGAACCCAATCCAAAAGACACGGGAACTCCTGGATCAAGTATTGGGAGAAATTTGCATTCGTGAAGGACTTTTTGATGTATTTGCGTTACATTGAGAGGAAGACCACGAGAATCTCCCACGGTTAGCCGAGTGGCAAGAGAACTCTAACCCATAATCCGTCTACCATTGAGAATATTTCACGCCAGCATTGTGGTCGATACAAGCCGAATACGGTTTGTCGGTCTCTATGGTTTGTCGACCACCTTTATGATCGCGTTTGGGAGGCGCGGAATAATTTTTTCCATAGCCTTTGTATTGAAGAAAACCTTTAGGAGAGACCATTAAAACCTCTCCTAGCGACCGGGCAAACTTTGGTACCAAATGCGAAAAAGGCCAAACAAGGAAATATGAAAAAATATCGAAACAAAAAACTTATTTAGAGAGCTCTTCTCAACGATATATCCTCATGTTGCATCCAGAGTGCTCTAAAGATAATGCTATCAATGATTTACTTCTAGAGCTGCAAGTTAAATTATTAAAAATTTATTAGAAAAAACAAACCTCTTCTCACTTTTTAAAGCTAACTAATTTTTATCATACAAAATTAAATGCAAACTTAAACAAAAAATTTAATTGTTTATTCATTTAAAATAGCTTGATCATTCATAAATTTGTTTTTACATATAATTATGTAAGTTGGGATCATTTTCATAGACGCTAAATTTAATTCATGGATTCGTCTTTTCATCACGCGCTTATCGAAGCGGCATTTTCGCACCAAGAAAATGACACTCTTAAATTAAAATCTTTCGCGAAAAATCATGCACCTTCGTTAACAATTTTGAAACCTCTAAGAACGACCAATTTCCATCAACGACCATTTTACCACGGAACAGAGAGTGGTCGCACCCGAGGGGTTTAACTCTACTAATCATTCTAGTCAAAGAACGACGATTTGACAATGGCTAAATCTTATGAAAAAAAAAAAAAAAAACTGGGGTTCGATCCTTGAACTTGAAGCCAAACCAGCTTCAGATCAATGGCTATCTTTTTTGTCTGGGGAAAAAATATTGCCGCAATCAGTAACTGCCTTATCCCAACACCTCCTAGAATAGAGCAGGCCTCTGCACGGGTTACCATAAATATCCTTCAGTAGTCCAAACGTAATGACTAAGGCCCGGATTTTGATGACATTTGCATTTTTTTTTGCATTTTTTGAGATTTATAGGGCATTTTCTTTAAATTTTGGGGCGTATTTTGCATTTTAAAGCATTTTTTAAATTTTTTGTTAGTTTTTTTCTAATTTTTATTATTACACTGGCTTACAAACACTGAAGAAAATCTCTAGGATATTAAAAGGTGAAGCAACATCTTTTCAAAATGAGGAGGAATTGTCAGTAAGTGTGACCGTCCTTTTCAAGTACGCAGCAATAACATCAGTAGACGTTGAAAGAAGCATCTCCTGGTATAAAAATTTGCTTTCAGACAAGAGAAGCTCGTTTACATTTCAAAATATTAAAAAAAATTTAATAATACACTGTAATTCTGATATTTGGTAATATTATGAGATGGAAGTTGTTAAGTTTCTATACAAAATGAAAATGTTTTGGAGTCAATATATTTTTCTTTTTTTTTTGTTGTTATTTCAGGATATAAAACATATTTTTCAAACTTAAATTAACGTAGAGCAAGTATTGCATTTCTTTATATTTTTTGAAACATAATAATTTTAAAGAGTAAAACATTGTTTTAGTTCAATATTTTTACTTCTATTTAAGTCATGTCATAGGGCATTTTTAGCGCAATTTTCGCATTTTAAGGGCGTTTTTTGAACTTTTAAGGGCATTTTTTGCAGTTTGTAAGGGCATTTTTTGCACTTAAGGGCATTAATTGAGATTTTTTTGGTCATCAAAATCCGGGCTCTAGTAATGACATATTTTTTATTTGCAACCACTGCGCAGCTTAGTACCCCGAACGTAATGACATCTTTCTTATTTTTCGTCTACTGCACAGTTAACTTCGCCACATTGGACTACTAAATTGATCCGTGCTGAGGCCTTCCTTATTCTAGGAGGTGCTGCTTAGCCTCGGAACCCCCTGGCACGCAAAGGGATGTGGCGGGAATGCTTTTCTTTATTTCTAGTCAATAAAATAATAAATGAACCGTTTGATAAAGGCAGGTAGGTACTTTATTTACGTCGCACTAGAGCTGCATATTGGGCTATTGGCGACGTTCTGGAAAACACCCCTGAGTGAGGATCCGAAGACATGCCATCGCAATTTTGATCCTCTGCAGAGGGGCCGTTGACCTGCGCGCGAAGTCAAGCACTTAACGTTAGATCTGTTTAACGAGGACCGATACCGCACACTCTCGGTTTCTACGCTGGATGATAGAAGTGGTCATCTACCAGCTCACTGACAGCAGCCAGTGATGCTTGACTTCGGTGTTCTACTAGGAACCGTGTCTTTACGATCAGTCCACTGCGGGACCGTTTGATAAAAAAATATTAAGTAAAGAAAGAAATTAATTCGGAGCTAATATGAAGACATTATTTTTCACTATCCAATGATAGGAATAAGAGATAATTTAGTAATCGGCAGATATAGTCGAATATCGGATAGAAAAAAAATATTCTGAGTATCTTTGTTGTAAAAGAAAGTAGTTTCAGTGGTTAAATTTTTTTTTTTATAAATAAAAAAAATTATTATAAATTAAATGCATGCTAATCTTATTTAAAATATATATATTTGCTGAATTTAAAAAGTGACCAATAATAAAGTAGATTACTTTTTGTAAATCTGACTTCATGCCTTACTTTTCCAGTTAATATTCGTAATAATTCAATGAATAAAATAAAACCAGCATAAAAGCATATGAAATAAAAGGATTATTTTTAAATTACTATTGATAATTTGCAGTTTGAATTCATTTTTACCCTCTTTTTTGTTTTTAGCATCGAAGGGATTTTGTAAGAGAATCCCACCAATTTAATGAATACGCAATTTCTATCGGCGCGAAGTTTTTAATATTTTCTTTTATTATTAGAGAGAAATTTGCTCGCTACGCTTGCCCACTCTCAAAAATTCTGACGCAGCTCCTTTCTATAGTGAGCGTAATATATATATATATATATATTCATACAGACAGATATAATATATCTGTTCTGTGTGTGTATGTTTTTAAAGGGAAGTTACGAACTCAACATTGTTTTCATTCAGTTCGGTGGAATTTTTATTTTATTAAAAATTAACAATGGTCAAATATTAAGTTAGTTTTAAATAAACAAAGGCAAAACTGATGTTGTTTTTATAAGTAAAGCACATTTAGATAAATTTTGCAATATCACTTTCTCCCTTTACCTCATTAGTTAGGATTATCATTCGCATTTAAATCACAAATATCTCTATAATGAGCATATATGGCAACGTTACTTTTGAAAAGTAACGAGTAAAAGTACAAGTATTTTTAAAAAAAGTAACGAGTAAAAAGTAAAAAGTTCTTATTTTAAAAAGTAACGAGTAAAAAGTACAAGTAAAAGTACAAGTACTAAACAAAAAAAGTAACGATTTAAAAGTACATTTNGAGAAATTCCATCAGTCCAGAACCGCTTTGTTGCCAATCGAAACTCGAGCTTTGTCACGCCGTCCGAATAGCAGAAAAGCCTTTGAGCAACAGGAATGCTATTTTTCTATTTCTATTGTACATGGCAGGAACGATGCCTTTCATGTGTTACGCTGCTAGCGTTGTCATGGATCAAGACATGGACTTCTGCAGCTCGTTGGTTGCTAATGAAAAAGCTGCGATGTGGACTTCTTGGGTGACAGTTGTTTTTGCTGCAATCCGTCCGTTGTTTCACATATTTATGGAAGACGATTTGGGCGACGCTACTGCAGTTTTCATCACAACAGTGTCCAGGAGAAAAAACTGCAATACGTGATATTTACAGAACTATGAAATTGTATTTATTTTTTAAAGTGTCAAAAATACGATTTTTTTTCGCTTCATTTTGTGGAATGTATTGTGTTTTTAGCTGTTTCTTTCCTGTATAAAAAGTCAGTATGCAAACAAGTATGAAGAAAGGTTACTTCATTAGACCACTTCAAAAAAAATGATCGTCTAATTCGTCAATTTTATTGTGTTCGTGTTAATGCAATTATTACTTTACATACTACACATATCTATTTGGCAATTATTTTTCTTTTATTTTATAGCCGTCGTTGAACAGCCGACTCAATCTTTGAGTTTACAAGTACTAATATTTAACTCTGTTGCCTTGTAATTTTGAACCCAATCCAAAAGACACGGGAACTCCTGGATCAAGTATTGGGAGAAATTTGCCTTCGTGGAGACTTTTTGATGTATTTGCGTTACATTGAGAGGAAGACCACAAGAATCTCCCACAGTTAGCCGAGCGGCAAAAAGGACTCTAACCCATAATCCGTTTACCACTGAGGATATTTCATGTCAGCATTGTGGTCGACACAAGCCGAATGCAGTTTGTCGGTCTCTATGGTTTGTCGACCACCTTTATGATCGCGTTTGGGAGGCACAGAGTTTTTTTCCCCGTAGACTTTGTATTGAAGAAAGCCTTTAGGAAAAAAAAGACAAACCTCTTCCCATCTTTTAAAGCTAACTAGTTTTTACGATATATAATTAAATGCAAACTTAAACAAAAAATATAATTATCAATTTATTTAAAAATAGCTTTATCATTCGTAAATTTGTTTTTACATACAATTATTTAATTTGGGATCATTTTTTATAGACGCTAAATTTTATCCAACGATCCGTCTTTTCATGACACC